TGGGGGATTGAACCGTGGTCCCCGATGCTTTGCTAAGCTTGTTCTAAGTAGGTGCTTTAGACCACTGAGCCATCTCTCCAGCCCCACGACTGAAGGTTTTGAGCAAGGATATAGTGACATGGTCTGTACTGTGCTTTGGGAAAATTACTCTCTTAACAGTGGACTCAGGTAGTTTGGAGACAAGGAGACTGATTTGGAATAGTCTAGACAAGATTTTTTTGTAATGAGGACATAAATTAGGTAGTGGCAATGGGAGAGGAATCGAGGGATGAAGTTTCCAAGGTTGTATCAAGGAGTTAACAGGCTTTGGCAAATTATGGATGATAATGAGACAGAAAAGTCAGTAGCAATATATCTATGTGAGGACAAGATTTCTATCTTACAAGATGGCTGTGTGAGAACATGAGTTACTGCCAATTAAGTGAATTATAAAAAAGAACAGGTCGGGGCAAAGGTGTTAAGTGATATTTTTGAATGTGTTTACATGGGTAGTACCCATGCCTGGCTTAACATTTTGTTGTGGGTCGTGTTTGTTGTCTTCAGCAGGCTTTAGACTGGGGTTATCACAGTGCTCGTTCTTGTACCTCTAGGGCCTAAGAACTACAGTAAAGTTCCAGATTTTAGAAGGATACTGGCTGTCTACATATACTTATTTATTCATTCATTTAACAAACCCTAATAAAATCCCCTGTCAGGCACTGTGGGAAACACTGGAGCTATAAAAATGAATTAGTCTCTGAAAGACTGAGACAGAGAATCACAAGTTCAAATCCCACAAGGTCAATTTTGTGCCTTAGTGAGATTGCCTCAAAAAAAAAAAAAAAAAGAGTGGGGATGTAGCTCAGTGTGAAGGCTCTGGGTTCAGTCTTTAGTACTGGGGGAAAAAAAGTAGACATTTTCCTTATACTCATGGGCTTTCTTAGGAGCTGTCCCATTTGTGATCCATTATTATAGAGTAGTTTATTTATACAGTACTTGCATAAAATGCATTAGATTCTTGTTTTCATTAAACAAGTTTTTTTAAAAAATTCCTTTTATTCATTTGTTTTCATTTTTACTTACTAACTTTCCTGCATTTGATTTTGAACTTTATATTCCAGGACTATAGCGTCACCTATGGACATTGCCCAGAAATCACTGTGTACACAAGCTGCTGCTACTTTCCTAGTGCAGCACAACTCCCTTCCTTGTGGGCAGAAAATAAAAAGTCCCTTCTTAGCATGTTGGTAGAGGTGAGTCTTTCCTTTTTAATTAGAAGTACACTCTTGCAAGGATATTCAATGAAAAGCTTTATCAATACATTGTCTTCATCTTTTACCAAAAACTTACATTTATTGTAAATGTATATTGAAAGGGAAGTTTTGTCCATTTTACAATAAACTTGCTGTAATTTGACCTTTTGAGATGTTGGAGGCTTTTTAATCTATCACACTGTTCCTGGAGTCATGCACTGTAGTGGGAAGGAAATCGCAGCATGAGAAGATTGGGTCCTGAAGCTCTCTGCTTTGGCTATACCAGGGCTATCTTTTATCTCCATCTTTATAACTGAAGCATTGACTAAGTAGCAAATGTGACCAGCAGTAGGGAAGAAAGAATAA